AACGAATACACTTACTTTCACATTTCAATCCACCATTTCAATAGGAGAATACTGTTTTTATCAATAATGAATGCAATGGTATTGCTGTAAAAGTTATTACAGATGAGAACACCAGTAAGAACGTTAATCAGTATGCTCTGTGAGGGATTTTTTGGAACATTCAATGAGAATTTGCCATACCAAAGAAGTGAAATAATTCTCGAAGGCTCATATATTGCCATATTGACAGGAATTTGGTACGTTTAGGTCCATTCGTATTACCTGAAAATGAAACGATTTGTTCGTCAAGTGTGGATCTAATAAAATTGAAATGTTACAAATATGTCCAATATTGATGAGATAGATGATCCTTTTCATTGGATACAATGATAAAGTATTGGATGTCAATCCTTGTACGCAATCATCTACTAAGATTGAAAATACTTTATGATGTGATCCTAAACAAATAGTTGTAATGACACTATGAATGATAATATGAAGTTAGCAAATAATTTCCTCACCTTGACTAGTCATAAAGGAGCCTCAATGAGAACCTTCAACTCAGAAACGATGTTTAACGATCAATAAATAACTGCGCTAATGGCTTACAAACATTCTCTAGTTCCGTCGCTTTTAACACGGATGAATGCTGAAGAAACTTCACTGGACGCTTAATTCTCGAAAGTAGCTAGTTTGATTGAAACGAGAGATACATCGCTTTAGTGCTTATCAGTTTAAATCAGGCATAAAAGCAAGACGAGTGATTAAAGTTTTATACGATCTAATAAAAAGCTTCAAGTTGTCAGTCAGCTTTTCCAACATTCAAAACAGATGATATTCATTGTCAGTTAATTTTCATTCACAACTCTTCTACTACCCCAACAATTTATCTTCAATTGACTGCAAGATGTTTGCAGTTGATCAATTAGATCAATAGTGACAATGTTGTTAATCTGTGTAATCAGAACAACGAAAATAATTTTAGAAGTGATGAAAATCAAATTAACAACGATAATAACAATAACAAGTTTTGTTTTTTTATCGTTAGTAGGACAACATTTGTGATGTTGAATGGAAAGCTGTAAAGCAGCTGATTATACGAGTGACTGACTTAATGTACTGTGCATAATTTTCAGCGGTTCGGCTTATCCGATTTCAAGTCTAATCTCACCAGAAAAAAAATTTGACTAATAAAATTCAAATAATATAAATTGCTATTCTCGAAAAATGCCCTCAGAAATGAATATTTCGTAAGGAGTTTTCTTTTTCTGCGACATGAATTCAGCCAAACGGAAAACATCATCGGGGTGGGTGGAGGATATATGGAATCAAATGTTGCTATGACAGTTGCCATTGATGAGAGATAGCAACATCTAAAGAAATGTTAAGATTAAGGCTAAAATAATTGAACAACTGATGAAAACAANTGAAACGAATTTTTGCCTCTTCTGGCAATTGATGATCGGATATTGATCATCTCGTTAGCCTTAGTTGACTCGTTTTCAACCATTTTTTCCTCAGAATCACTCGACGATGCACCCAATTGGGTATTATCATAGTCGTCCAGTTCAGTCACATTGCTCAGTAAGGCGCCAGACGCCGAATTGGAATCGTCAATTCCCATTCTCTCGATATTTCCGTCTGATATTATTCAATATTTGTGATATATTATGACTACAATTGTTAGTTTTGATAATATTTATTGTAGTTGTTTGCAGTTACGATTAACAATACAGCGCCCAGCGCCTGGTTTATTATGTTTTTTGCTTTATAATCTGATAAATCTGTTGTTGAATGTTTCCGTGATTTATCTGTGTGATGATTAACAAGGTTGATTCACGAATTCGAACGTCAACTGTGTATTTCTTTCTGAAACAAACAAAAAAAACGACATGAATCGTTGGGAATAATAAACATCGCCGAGGCATCATCATATCGTCGTCAATAGATTACATCGGCCCTATCCAAACTTCATGCTAAATTTTTATCGCTCTCCTCGAATGTACGGTGCAGTTGCATTTTATCGCGTTACATATGATGTAAATGTTACATATGATCATTTTCCTCTTACTTCTTTCAGATGTCATTGCGTGCGACTGCTGAAAAGGACTTCCTCGAGGAGTACGCATGGTCAATAGACCTTCT